TCATCTTCCTTGGTCATAGCCCAGATTTCGAACTTTTCAAAGTAATCTTCAAAAGCACGAAAATCTGAATGTATATCCAACAATTCCATCACAGTCTCCATCGCGGCGCCAATATGATGATTAGGAGTATTTGAATTATAGTATGAGCTAAGAAACCTAGAAATAACGTAATTGGATAAAAACGTACTACATAAGCACGAATGAATGTACTGTATTTAGAATTCGAAATCAAGCATTCAACAAGTACAAAAGAATCATTAGTTCATTCAAATACCACAAATTCTCAGCACAAAGGATTTCAACAAGTTTCCTTTTTTTTATTTCTTGATCGATCCTGACGATAAATATTGAGTGATCACCAGTTAGAAGTTAACAGTCCACTGAATAGACATCTAAATAATGTACATTCTTTTCGCTGCATATTGCCAGCAACTAAAATATCTTTGATTGGATTTTTTTTATTTTGTACAACGAAAGATTGTACAGTTTTCAGAAAAGTACCTTGAATAGGTTATGCGTTTGATAGACATAATGATGTATTAAACCAAACAAAAATTAATGGTTCTAAGCGATAAGCTACAGGATCTGCTGGGTGGTAAATGTTAAAAATCCGGGGACAAATTTTTCGAGGAAGTATTGAGTCTTGAGTTTGAAAAAGACCAGGGCGGATACCACGCAAAACCAAGTACACGCCCAAAGGTGAGCCCAAGCAGAAAGGTTTTCTAGATTATCCGCAAACAATAAAGGATTTTGTTGATGCAATGAAGAGTTTGGGTGACATACTGACGGTTTACTATATACTGACAGGTCGTCCTGATGATTATTGCTAACATTTGACTTCTGAGAATCACAATTCATGTGATTGTCACGAGTAAATGGTTAAGTGCTCGCGCGCGAAGCCAGTAGGTCCTGGGTTCGAGCCCCGGGTGGTGCGGGGTCGTGGATGCGCACTGCTGAGGAGTCCCATACTAGGACGAAACGGCCGTCCAGTGCTTCCAGGTTTTCAATGGTGGTCTAGCTTCAACTGACTCATGATTTCAATCTGTGAAAAATAGATAACTTATTAAAATATCTAGATGACAGGAACAGGTAACCCAGATATTCAAGCAGACCGCCAAGTACAGAGTTTAATTGAAAATATTGAGTATATTGATTCGCAATTAAGATTTCATCTTTGTATATAGACAATGTGCCACATTTCAGTAGAAATGCTTAACCATATCTAACACTAAATCAAATTTTGATGCATTCTTTTTGTTGTGGAAATTTTACTTCATTAAGATATATCATGTCAGCATCAACAAAGATTCATAGATAAAAATGGTATAATAAATCAGAAAATAGACGATTTTAATCATTTGATTTTGCTGAAATTGTCTTGTTATATTCCAACTAGACAAGAATTATTGACAAAAAAATGTCATGACACACTCCTTCATTAATATCTGAAGTGCTGGAACTATTTACCGGTGTACAGTATGATGTTTCTATGGATGTGTACGTTACTCAAGGTTATACATAATTTTGAAATTTTATAAAACAATCAATGAAATATCTACATCATTCAAAACTGTTAATGCAAGAAAGTTCATTTTATGAGATATTCTTCTTTATTGAAAGTAAACAACGATAGCTGTCATTCAATCTCATTTAGGCTGAAGCTGTTGTAGCGTGGAGTCGAGTTGAGATTGACTATGAACACCGCTACAGAGAAACGCGTGCCAAATGACTCCATAAAATCCCCCGGAAGCCAAATATCAGAAGGCAGTTAATGGATCAAGTCGAGATATATTTGCTGGCGATCTCGCGGTATCGAAAGGATACCGAGATCGTGCCAGGATACAAGCTTGGTTACAGAACATAACCTAATTCGCGCGAAGTCACAATCAAAGTGTGTAAGAATAATGGATGCTTTTTAGCACAGTTAAACGAAAGCACATTAAAACAGTCACTGGTACAATTGGTTATAATAATAATCGTTTTCAATAAACCAATTGTGTTATCGTGATAAAAGTGAGTCACTACAATGTGATCACATGTATATAGGTCCATAAATTTTATTCTTGAATTACTAATCAAGGTTCATGAACATTAAGTATGCTATACTGTTGTTCAAATGATGAGAGTTTCAAGTTACTGATTGTTACTTATAAAGTACGAATAAGCATAAGCTGCTAGGGCAATTAGCTTAAATTTACTATTAACACAAGCAATAATATATTTCATGATCTGTTGTGATGATATCTGTACACAAGCTTTTATACTGAATCCATGACAGACGCGTAAATGTGTAATACAATTTTCTGAAGGAGTTAAGTCATTTTCACAATTAAGGTACTTTCAGTTGATTGGGTGAAATGGCTGAGTATATGTGCCTATGATAAATTCTTAATTTTTACACTTGTCAATTAAAATACTTCAAGCGATAAGTATTACTTCTCGGTTGTAATTCTATCCAACATTGTTTGTGGCACCTCCACAAAGCTATTGAAATATAGATTTGACTGTAATAACAGTTGTTTGAGATCTCATGTTCCTTTAAAAGAGCTGAAGTTTAGTGAGTATGAATTGTGCTGTCGACTTCTTGATGTTGATCTTCAGAAATGTAATTTTCGTTGTAGCAGTTTGATGGCTTTGAAAAAATGTCTGTCAAGTGGTCGTTGGTTTTAAGTCTTGGTTACAGCTGTCCTTCATTGTTTGACGACTCATTAATGATACCCCTACTGACACATTTGACCATACACTTCAACGCTTAAAACTTAGTTTGTTGAGATAATTAAAAGTCAAATACCCTAATCTTACTTGTGATGTGCAACAATCAGCCGAATTTCTACTCTAGTTTTTGGCACATGAAATCAGACATGTCATTAACTCTTCAGGATCCGATAGACGATATTCAATGTAGTAACAATCTAAATACGTGAAATTTTATTATTCAACAGTCAATGATACTTCAGTTTAAATGCAAGTTTCGTGTTGGTTTCAAGTTGTTTAAGACTATATCACTGATTGTCCATATCGGTATTACAATTAAATTAGTTATCAATAAAATGAGTATCCAGTGAGAACAAACGAACACTACCTAGTTAACAGTGAGGAATATCTATACGAATTCGATCACTTAGAGTATATCATGGCGACGTGTTTGAAATATGATGTAATCTACAGCCGAAAGTGGCTACTTCTAGTATAGGGTAAACTTCAAGTTGAAAGCCATACTCGATTATTCTGGGAGACTTAAATGATAAACATCAGCAGCAAGAAAGGAATCATTTTTAACAGATATGTTTTGTTGTTTCACTAGGACTGTCATACCGGCGGTTGAAATTTCTGACATATCTTTTTAAAACTTTTAGGGTAAAATAATGAATATTCAAGAATAAGTGATTGTGTCTCATTAAATTTTAATTTACATGAGACCAAATGAATAGAGAACATAATGTTGTTCCAGTTTAACATACTGTTTGCATAATGTAAGTATATGATATTTAGAAGGAGGCATTTTTTATGTTCATCAGTTGTATGTCAACGATTCCGATAGTATTTCTCCTCAAGATTTCAGTTAATATTTATTAACTACTCTAAACCTGATTCAAACATTGCGTTTCATAATAATGTCAATTGATTCGATTGTTTCTGATTCCGTGAACTCTTAGTTTCTGGGTTCATATGTACTGTTTATCAGTTTCTTACTACCAGACTTTTGGTTTACTTTTGCTATGAACCTTCTCTTACAGTTCATACTCTTTTCATCTTTGAAATCACTGATCTCTTAAATATAGATTCATTTCTCGACTTAAAATAAACAGATCACATATATCTGGTGAGTGTGAATGGTGATATAATACAGGGTCTCTTGATCACCTAGAGTTACGATAAAAGCCTCATTTAGGCGACCCACTGTGGAATCACTAAGTGAACAATATTGAATTTATTTAAAAGCCTTTTCGGAAACTCAGTAATTTGGTTTATGAGACTGGATCCTCACAAATAAAGTTTTTTAGTCTGGTATCAGATTAGTCGAACCACCGTCAAGTTTACATACATGATAGTGACTGATGTAGAAGTAGTTTGTAAGGAAACTGATAACGATTAAGATCATCTGGACTATCGTCGTTAACTATGGAGATCTTGTATGATGTGGTTTAGAATCGATCACAGTTGAAAGATAAATTCACATTTTATCGTGCTCTAGATCATGTGTTCACAGAGACTTGTTAAAACACCTAAGGCTTCTATATTTTTTATCATCATTTCAAATTATCATGCTAATATGGTTTGGCAGCTTGGTATGAAACAGGTTCGTCCTCGTTTATTCAGTCATCAGCAACAACGTAGAACTTCATACGCACGTATATCAGTTTGAGTTGCCAGACCATATTAGTACACGGATACAATTATCGATCCAAATTCCATAGTGATAGTGGTAGTAAGATTGCAGGCAGTAATCGGAAAGATTAGGGTTTGAAAATGTTATTCAAAAAGTGTAATCCAGTGAAATAAATTCGGAAAGAGAAAAAAAATGATATGAAGAATTCAGAAGATTAGAATTTGAGAGAATACAAAGAGTGGATGCACCTGGGCCATTGCAAACGATTTTGAGTCATATCATTCAAGTTCTCTAACCATCGGTTGCTATCATCTCGCAGACCCAAACCAGGTAGTTTACACCTACCAACATGGCTCAGTTCACTTATCAGTGACTTCATAGATTTGTGCCGTTTTGAGCTGGCTATCCATAGCTTTCTTCCAACTTACTCCTACACCATAAAACATCGCACGTCATGGCAGTCGGTGGTTAGGCATACGTAACATATATCCTAGCCAAATCAAATGATGAAGCTTCACTACTTCACCAATTAATTTATTATCCTTACCTAATACCCATTTCCTAACAACTGCATTAATTACTCAGTGATCCCAAGACATATGAGCAATACTTCGAAGACACCTATGATGACTATTTGCAAAATACTATTAACAGAATAAAACAAGATTTATCAGACAAATTTATTTATTTTTCTTTAAATTTAAACTTTATTCATAAAGTAACCAATTAAATGTCAATACAATTATGTAATAATCTTCTTAAGAAAACAAATCTAAACTACTATGATTATTACAATGTAATGAACACTATCAAACATGATTTTGTTTAAAATGGTAGTATAGCTGAAATTGAAAAGAAAGAAATTTCCAATTATTCTATACATTTAATAGATAGATTAATATAACAATATGTAAAGGTAAATATGATATTTCACTGAATGAAATCATGAATCAATTGAAAATAGACCACCATGGAGAACCTGGAAGCACTGGACGGCCGTTCCGTCCGAGTATGCGACCCCTCAGCGGTGCGCATCCACGATCGCACCCCCCCCGCGAGATTCGAACCCAGGACCTACTGGTCTCGCGCCAGGCGCTTAATCAACTAGACCACTGAGGCGGACGGCATCCAACGGTGCTAATATCTAACTTCAACCAAATCTGATATTCTTTTACTTAATATAATAATTATCTAGTGTAATGTTTGTTTCTGTTTTTTTCAGTATGATATTCTATTCAGTATAACACGATATTCTTGTATTCAATAAACATGGACTATGCTCAGTATGATATGTAGCATGTGATTTTCTTATAATTCTAATTACTTTTCATATATGTGATTTCATCTGGTGTTAAGAAATCTTCATCGTTGGAATTGCAGTGGTTCCTTGTTGTGTTTTTTTAGTATAGGTGATAAGCGATTCCGATTTACTGATCAGTAATGACCATATCTAACAAGTAGCTCCTCTTAAAGGAGCATAGGCCGCTCACCAGCATTCTCCATCCAACCCTGTCCCAAACAATCCTTTCCAGCTCTTTCCAGTTTTTATTCATCCTTTTCATATCTGATTCTATTTCCCGATTTAAGGTGTTCTTTGGCCTTCCACTTTTCCGCTTCCCTTCAGCATTCCAAGTTAACACTTGTCTCGTGATGCAGTTTGGTGATTTCAGTCATCTATGTCCTAACCATTTCCATTGTCTTTTCTTAATTTCCTCTTGAGGTGGAAGTTGGTTTGTTCTCTCTCACAGAGAGGCTGTTGCTGATGGTATCCGGCCAATGGATGTTGAGTATCACATATCATTGAATACATAGTTAATCTATCCGTCATTATAGAGTTTATAACAACTGAAAGATTTGTTGTATTCGTCATATTCTCAAGATAAGTCTAAATAGAATAAGTCCATCTCGAATAATATCACATTAAAATACTTGACATAGAGATGAACATCAAATAACACAAAAGAATTGATGATTAAGATAAAGTAGAAAGAAAATTTCATTTGCATTACCATTATATTTCTTTGCTAAAGATATTAATTTATCAAAATTTCTCGCAGCGAAATCGTAAATAACTGAAATATCAGAGAAAAATCAAGTGAATATTTTGTACAATAAAATAAATATCATTTTTACTTTAGGGTTGTGAAGATTATTATGTTTTTTGATTGAGATCATGAACCGATTGATGTTAGACTACTGATGAGGAGGAGTCTCACAATAAGACGAAACAGTCGTTCAATGCTTCCAGGTTTTTGATGATAGTCTAACATCAATTGGTTCATGATCTCAATAATAATAATATTTATCATTTTATTGGAAGTGATGTTAACTCCAAGTAATTTAATGTCTACACAAATTTAACAAGCCATATTAACGTCTTTTTAATTCTTTTTTCCAAGTTCTCATAATTCATCGTTTTACTATTACATCATTCATATGGTACTAAACGAACTATTTGTGTGACATGATTATGAGCATTCGGAATATATCACTTCGTAATCTCAACAGTTGCATTTTTAGTAAAAAAACATACAATTAATTCACTTGATATTGTTTGTTTAAATATTCCCATTGATATTTAAAACTACAATTGATCAGTCTCATGTTGGCATATGTGCATACTGCACGTATTGCCTTGATATAGCCTTAATTCACAAGCATTATATGCAAAGATGGATAGTGGCCAGCAGAGGAATACAGGACGCGCGTTTCTTCCAATTTTGGGCTCGTCAGCTGGATGTACCTGCATCTCAGAGTTGATGTTCACTCTGGAGCTCGAAATCAGTACCGACCGCTTCAAACCCTATCACGTTATGCACTTAGCTACTGAGTCCTGATAGTCATATACTTTTGCAATGAAGTGGAGTTTAAATTCACTGGGTATTGTTTACTTGACTCCTCCTATTGATGTGAGTAAACATCAACACTGGGATGCAGGTACATCTAACTGACGAATCCCAAATAGGAAGAAACGCGCGTCTTGGATTCCATTTCTAAAAACATACAATGTTGTGTGACTTTTACTTACATAGTCCATTGTTAAGCGACTTCTTATTCACGTATTTTTTAACAATCAAGTCATCTAGTTCCTTAATATCTAGAGAGAGGGAAAGAAAGTTATTTGTCAATTTAAGAAGTATTATATAAAATTCATCTTAACTTATCATCTATTGTCAGTTTGACAATGGATATAAAGTATTCAAATTAATAACTTTAAAAATAATTATCCACTGCATTTGATAGTATCGAGTTGCTGTTTCCCTATCTATTAACAGATATGAAGTGCTTTCTTCAATTATGTTTCATAAAAGAGAAATCATTACTTTTGAATTAGGATATGAGTAATGACAATATTAAGAACATGATTTTGTATAGCAGGACATCGTATTTATGGTTAATTGATGAAGTTTCATTTTGTCTTCAAGCTTACTGTTTCCATTTAAATATCGAACGTGAACAAATTTTATGAATTTGTGTGATTTGTACAAGGACTTTGAATTACATTAACAAGGTTTTGAATTATCAACGTGTTGTCGTTAATTTCTTAGATTTTCTGTTGTTCATGTAATATTGATACGTTTATACACTAAACTGTGTGTGGAAACTCCGACTTTAGCATTACCTACTTACACCTGTTACCTCGCATGAAGCATAGGCTGCCAGTCAGCATTCTCAAAACCACTCTGTCCTGAGCATTCCTTTCTAGTTCTACCCAATTTTTGTTCATTCTTCTCATGTCTGTCTACATGTGTTCTTTGGTCTTGAGGATTCCATGTGAGAGCTTGACTTGTGACGCATTTGGGTGATCTCCTCAATGTGTGTCCTATCCACTTCTTGCACTTCTTCCTCCACTGAAATCTAGTTCGTTCTCTCCCATAGTAGGTTGTTACTGATAGTATCTGGCCAACAAATCCGAAGTATTTTGCGTAGACAACTTTTAATAAACACCTGTATCTTCTGGGTGCTGGTTTTTGTCGTTCTCCAGGTTTCCGCCCCATACAGTAGAACTGTTTTGATATTTGCATTGAAAATTCTGACTTTGGTGTTGGTTGTCAGTTGTTTTGAGTTCTAGATGTTCTTCGATTGTACATATGCTGCTCTTGCTTTGCCGATCCGCGCCTTCACATCTGCATCAGATCCATCGTGCTCATCAATGATGCCGCCCAGATATATAAAGGTTTTTACATATCCCAAAGCTTCTCTGTGAAGTATGATTCAATTGGTGCAGGTTGTGTTGTATCGGAGAATCGCGTTTTTCCCTTTGTGTGTATTGGGACCTACTTCTGCTCAGGCTTCTGCTACACTGGTCTTCTTCTTTTGCATTTGTTGTTGCGTGTGCGATAAAAAAGCCAGATCATCTAAGACTTTAGCACGATTGAGAATAATTTAAACCCAATTATGAACATTCAAAACACATTTGTAAAATTAACATCAACCGAGAAGAATATCGTGAATTCATGGTGTGTCTAGACTTTCATAAGCTGACAACAACCTAAATTCACTACAGTGAAATTGTTATAAGCAAAGTTTTATATCCTGTAATTGATGAAGTACAGTTCAATCTTGTTTCAAACTTTGCATAAAGTAACATTACAAATGTCACTTTAGGCTAATTGCAATGGAAGACTGGTAAGTCTTGTCGATTGAACGATATATTCGATTGCTATTCTATTCTGATAACCCGCAAGCTAGAACTACACAGCGACTTGAACACCAGAGAGAAGACAAAAAGTGTGAGAGAAATACTTCACTTCAAGGTTTGTTTTTGTACAGAAAATCATGGGTATTTATAGATGTTAGCGTTTGTTCAATCAACATCATATTTCAGCCAATCCGTTAGCGACATATTACGCTACTGACCAATAGTAACACGCCACGTTGGAATTCTAGAATGCTCCATCGTGCTGTGATTGGTTAGGACTTTTCGGCTCCTTTTGGGCCTCTGGAGGCTCCATTGAAGTTCTCTGAAAGCCGACTCAACAAAGTCATTTCTTGAAATAATATAAATTCAGTTTATTCTGCAAATCATGTTCTGTATGATTTTTCAAAATTGATCGAGCGATCAATTTGCATAAAATTTTTGGAAAATATGATGCTTTCATCTGAGCAATTCAATGAGCTTATCAGTGTTATCCTTTTGTTGCAAGAATCATTCAAAGAGTTTATTAATAAAACAAAGGTAGTAGACAGATAATCATTTCATTAAAATCGTGAACCAATCAAATTTAGACAACTATTGATAAACTGAAAGTACTAGACGTGTTTGATTCTCATTAACGATGTCATACATGAACACTATTATGAAGTCCCATACTATGACGTAACATCTGTCAGGTACTTGCCGGTTTTTGATAGTGATCAAACTTAGAACCCTATAATTTTTATATATGATAAAGATCATTTATTTCTGATTACCTTTTTCAGGGAATGTTTTAAATTTATTGCACTTTTCTTCATTGTTATTAGACTTCATATCTGTAAATAACATTGTTTTATTTTTTTTACAAAAAATTACTTCACTTGTCACCAATAAACATCAATATTTAAAGCGGATAAAAATTGTGAAAATTCGTCTTGGTTACCAAATGTCTGTCTAGATATACATACCTGATGTCAAAAATGATCAAAAATATTATTTTACTTGTAAAATATTATAATATTGATTGAACTAGAAAAGTTATCAAATGCCCTGGTACGGCCGAGAGTGGGGTGGATCCGCCCTTCCTCTCGAAATGCTCTCACATGGCCATGCGTATACAGCAAGGAAACAATAAACACTACTAGTCTTTGAGTTATGGACACGGGAGTGTTTATCTATAATTTATTCATTACCAATTTGTCTATGGTGAAATGTTATTTATATTTCTTTGATTTACAAATAAGTAATGACCACGCTTAAATCGAACAAAAAATGTATATTTTATTATGATAAAGTTTTGTTCTCGGAGCTGGATGGTTTAGTCATTCAGAAGAACGATGAAAGCTCCACGACTAAACCATTCAGCTCAGAAAACAAAACTTCATCAAAATCATCAATCTGAACTACAAATCTCCTCCACCGTTTCAACATCATATAAGTGTAGTACATTTCTCGTTGTTAGAAAATGGGAGGATTTCGTCAAAAGGCAGGCTTCTACTGTATTTCCTTCATGAATATCTTTGTCAGCATCTTCTACCAACAGGTGTAAGATACTTACGCCTGTTACTCCTTGTGAAGGAGCATAGGCCGCTCACCAGCATTCTCCATCCAACCCTGTCCTGGGCAATCCTTTCTAGCTCCATCCAGTTGTAATTCATCGTTTTCATATCTGCTTCTATTATCCGACGCCTGTAGCTCTTATAGGGTTACTGCCGGTCCCAAGCCCGGGTAAAGGAGGAGGGTTGGGCATGGGGTTAGCGTCCCCATCCCGTAGAAAACTAACTCGCTAAAAAAAACGCTAACCAGAAAAAATAATCCAAACAGGTGTAAGATACAGACCACTAATCAACTGTTCATTGGGATGGAAAATAGCTGAATAAAGTCAAAGAAAAATGGCACACCTAATGATAACGGATATTTTATTAAGATAGCTACATATTCATAACTCCGCCTGGAGTCCCTCCGGGGGCTACCACCAGTCCCGAGCCCGGATAAAGGAGGAGAGTTGGGCATAGGGTTAGCGACCTCATCCCGTAGAAAACTAACTCGCTAAAAAAAACGCTAACCAGAACATATAAATATTTTCACTGACTTTCTGGTATCTTTCTTTGTTCTTTGAGGCAATTCTGCAGAGTTGAAAAATCATGAACTATTGTTTTGATGAAATACAAGGAAAGTAGACAAAATTAATTTCATAACACAGTAGGAAACATATATTATCATGACATTCAACTGCAAAGTTAACTTCAATTCAAATAGAGCATTGTTATAAAAGCAAGTTAATTATCCTTTGAAAAGTTATGCACAACCTTTATGAATGGGATAATTATACAAGAATAAATGTATATATATAATATCATATCACATGGATAATCATGGAAAATAAGAAATCATACACGATGTAAGTATCATGAATGCTGTTGATCCTTCTATTTCTAAAAGATTTAAATAAAAATAAATAGTTAGTCATTTTATTGGCATGTTAATTAAATAAGATGATGTAGGGCCAGTGAAATTCAACTGGTCTCTTGCCAAATCATTCTGCAGTACGGTCATTAATTATCGAACAAATCATCGATCCTCGTCAAGGTCAAGGACAACCAGCGCGCATCAGTTAATCATACACCATGGACTGACCCATGCGGCGGTGGTCTTACTTCCGCTTGTATCTACTTTAACTATTATATTTCTGTAATAACGTCCTCTGTGTTGTACAGTCTTCAAAGCATCTATGGTACATTGATACGTCAATGGGGTAGTCCACGTAAAGTGCGAACCACGAGATGTGACTTCGACGTTAGCTGGTTCGCCACGCCATTCCCATTTAACTCGAGTAGGCTTCTGATCATTCGACATAGATCATCTACGTTGGTGATCTACAATGACATCTAGCAAAAACAATATTGAACTTTAGTCCAAATTAATGATAAAAGAATATACAATCACAATGATATAGTGTGCAACAATGATGGAGTTCTTGTATGAGCAGTTAAACTTCACTGTCGTTTTATGTTAGCGAAATACTTGTAAGTAACATGCATAAATATTCTAATAAGTAGAGAATTGAATATTTGACAAATTACAAACGAGTATAAATCAACTCTACAATAAGTAAGTAACTCTCTTCAATTAGAATAATCTTGAATAATAAGATGAATATAGGTAAAAGAAAATAACCGCTAACATAAAACTGTCATGCTATTTAAGCCTAATATTTCATTTATTTCAAATGATGTGGTTACATCTCGATAGTGATAATATACAAGAGATTAATTGAATAAGAAAATGAGAATTCAGCAAAGAAATTTTTCTTTTCGACGAAATCGTTTACTTAAGCTGTACATTCGTATATATGGAAAAGTTATGTCTATAGGAGAATAGAAAAAGAATGCCCGATGGTTTTTTACAGCGATCTATATATAAAAATCCTACTTGAGTAGAAAGAGGAACTTAATTCACTATTTACCCTCTAGGATCAAGCAAATCTGTTCCACTGACGCAATAGATGGGGAACTATCTCAACTTCGACAAACTCCCATCAGAAACGATTATCCACCTAGATTCGTCGATAGCAACCTAACACCTAGACTTCACCATGAAAAACTATCGACAGTACAGAAGAAAACCCTGTTCATGAATATGGAATTTAAAGGAGACACAGCTGCTGAAATCTTAAATAAACGGATTTCAAAATCACTGAATAAAACGTTCTACACAGCCAAGCTCCGAATTGTTTTCTCAAGCCGGCCAACCATTCCTGGCTGTGTTAAAGACAGACTTTCGCTTTGGGCCACATCTATGTTTATTTATAAACTTACGTGCTCATGTGGGTCTCGTTATATAGGCTGAAAAAAGCGATCACTTTCCGAACGCATCTCATAACACTGTCCGGCTTGGTTTGTAAAAGGAGGATGTAAGACAATCACTAGTTCTATACACGAGTATTTAATCGATTTTCGACACACCGCTTCCAAGTATCCTTCTTTTAAAATGATCTATAGAGTCAAAGGAATTGGATCGTAGGGGTGTCGAATCAATATTCTATGCACTGCTGAGGCAATTCACGAACTCAAGCCTGAACTTTGAGTGAAGAAACGATTTGTTCTACCTCTCATTCCTTCCTTGGCCCTAATTCCCTTAATGGATATGTTTCTGGGTTTATTTTTCTGCACTTTTATTTGATTATTATCGAATTTTTAAAATTACTATTTTGCAATTTTAATCTTTAATCGGTTATTATTATTATTATTACTACCTTATACAAGTTTTTTTGAGTATTATTCAGTCTATTATTATGACCTTTATGTTTGTCGCTTCTCTTCATATTTGTCAATTGGACTATTATCTGACCCATAAACGATTTTCTTCCTTACTCCTTGACTAATTAGTACGTAACCTCATTTGTTATTTAGTCTCGAAACCATTTTGGTGATGGAGTTTTTTCTACCGTCCTATACACATCTATTTTCAATATAACTATACATACGAATGTACAGCTTAAGTAAATGATTTCGTCGAAAAGAAAATTTTCTTTTGGCTGAATTCGCTTTTTTCTTATTCAATGAGCACTATGAATTATTTTAATTATTTGAAGAGATTAATTGTTAAATCTGGATGATATACAAAACATGGTATACATGTTTTCAATTGAATATTGTTTGCTGAAATATTCAGAAATGTTATTATGGCAACAACGTACTGTGGGAGAGAACAAACCAGATCCCAGCGGAGGAAGAAATCAGAAAGAAGCGCTGGAAGTGGATAGGACACACATTGAGGAAAGCACCCAACTGCGTCACAAGACAAGCCCTCACATGGAATCCTCAAGGCCAAAGGAAAAGAGGAAGACCAAAGAAAACATTACGCCGAGAAATGGAAATAGACATGAGAAAAATGAACAAGAATTGGATGGGATTAGAAAAGGAGGCCCAGGACAGAGTGGGTTGGAGAATGCTGGTCGGCGGCCTATGCTCCATTGGGAGTAACAGGCGTAAGTAAGTAAGTAATAATTTTACAGTTTTTATACAATTTTCAGAAGTTATTATAATGAACATAAAGAATAATTAAAGATCTAAATCAATTTGATTAAAATAGAAAATGATTGAAATAAGTTAATGTAATGAGATTTGCATAGAAACAAAGTTTATTTTATAATATTTGTTAAAACCTTTAAGAAATCCATGGTATGATTCTGCATTTTGTTGTTCACTTTTACACCTCACATCTAAAATCAATCATATGATATATGTGTGTAGTCAATTATCTTTTATTATATACGTACATCGTTGAATTGTTTTGCGTTTTTCTACTAGATTCTGCATAAGGTTATCTAAAACAAATAGATATACATTATTATGGGAGGTTTGTACAGTTTATTGTCTACATCATGAACTGATCTCATTCAGATAATCATTGTATACTAGAAAGTAATCAGTATGAGATTGTTGAACAAAGTGGATACACTCCTTGTCTTGAAATTTTTTAAAAGGGTGATGTTTGTAGACTATTGAGAGTTTCATACAAGAAAGAAATAGCTATTCCGTGGTTGTTTATCTCTGATAATTGTCTAATTAGAATTAGTCAATGATGTATGATTGATATTCATCAGTTTATTATTCGTCAATTTAAGAAGGTATCCCGGTAGACATCTTTGTTAAGTTTATGTGATACATATAATTTAATACAGAAACAAACAGTAAAGCAGATCCAGAAATCTTGTGTATACAATTAATATTATTATCACTCGATCGTACTGGACTAATTACATTCATGTAATCTCATGATTTGAATTTTGATGGGAAGATTTATGTATTTCAGAACATTCAACTACTCAATTTTATGTTAGAAATACTAATAATGAACTCTGTTCGAAATTCTTTGGACTGATTATTAGAAGGAGCAACTTCAATAGAACATCATTCAAAATGATTAAGCAAATAAAATATACATACTAATTTCTTACTATACACAGGACTCAGTAGCTAATTGGATAACGCGATGGCGTTTGGAGCGAATGGTACTGGGTCCAAGTCCCAGAATGGATATCAACTCTGATGCAGGCACATCCAGCTGACGAGTCTCAGATAGGGCGAAATGCGCGTCCTGTATTTCGCTGCTGGTTTTCCTTTGCCCGCAAATGCCCTGGTACAGTCGAGAGTGAGGAGAGTCGGCTCTCCCTCTCGAAATGTTCTCACATGGCCACGCGTACGTAGTCACTGCCAAGGAAGTCCTACTCACTGTCTTCTCTTACCAGGGGTGTTGTTTACGAAAATGAGAGGACGAAAAGCGAATGTCCGGCGCTTTAACCAGACCCCAAACCAATGGTGCACATGGGCTCCAGTATCCTGCAGGAACAAATGACGTATGAACCAATCGTTGGTCACCGGCTACGATGAGATTTCATCTCCTCACGATGCTCCATTGCCTTGTGGGTCAGACTTCAAGGCCAAAGGCTCGGGGTGTGGCCACCTGCTTCGGTCTGGTCACCCGAGCATTATCACAGCCCTCACACCAAATCGAATGACTTATGTGGCGCATACGTATTTGGTGCCTCCTTGTACCAATGTTTATACGTTTAAATAAATAAATAAATATGTTACTATACACATCTCATTGTACAATGCAATGAAAGTGTATTTAAGGGGGGGGGACAAAGGTTGGTTTATAAACCTATTCGTATACAACATATTTTTTTCCAAGATTAGAAATTACTCCATAATTCAATTACCTATTTTGGCTTGTAATATTTTTTCATTTTCTCGAATATTAGTTGTACTATCTTCAACATTTTCTGTAATGTAAATAATTGTAAACATTCAATAAAAATGTTAATTTAATAAATCCGATTAAAATTTGACAGTTTCAGTAATCAATATTGATGTCATCTTCGTGAAAACCCTTTTCTGATAATACCATGATCGATTGTAGAACACTGTGATACCATTCAAACAAAACTAAGTGAATTTAAATTTCACCGCATTGCACAAGCAGGTAGCTATTAGGATTCAGTAGCTAAGTGGATAATGCGGTGGTGTTTGAAGCGAACGGTCCGGAACGAAGATCAACACTAAGGTGCAGGCAAATCTAGCTGATGAGTCCCAGATAAGACTTCTTCTTCTGCTAGCCACTATCCATCTTTGCATATAATGCTTGTGAATTAAAGCCATTTCGAGGCAATCTGCACAAGATGCATATATGGCAACATGAGACTGATCAATTGCAGTGCTATATTAAGTAAGCATGGTCAGAGATTTATATTATTAATTATAGAAAACTATCAGGATAATCGTAATTTGTACAACATGTTAACAGTCCTTATAGTAAACTACTATAATAACACTAGTCTATTTTCCTTTTACATTCAATGATAACTAAACTATAGTGATTTTGAAGTAAACATTATTGAAATCATTTCAAATGATATAAACAGAGATACAATTGAATTTTAGTCAAATTATTCAAAATAGATTTCAATAGGTGTAAAGTCTTCCTTTTACAGATTATACAAATTATAACATACTTATCACATCTTGGATTATTTCCAGAATACCTAAAGAGAGAAGAACAAAAATCGTCTATACTATTACTAAAGTATAATACAATTGAATTAGAATAGAAAGGTTATCATCATGGTTTACTCTTAAAAATACTCATCAAAAAGAAAGTATAACAAATTGTAATTGGAAATGTTTTATTCAAGTTGATGTATGAGAGAGAATGATAATGATTAGTAGTTTGTTTAGTCAAACTTGTATATAGTCTAACAGGCGTTAGACGAGTTATATGTTCTCCTATCCTTATTATTATGGACTGATTATTGGTTGCTGTTAGATTGTATCCGCTTGTTGTGGTTGTTGGTTTTTGATGTGGAAATATATTTACGTTCTAGCAAGGCTAATCATGTGTTCTTGATCTGAGTTGTGTTGAAGTCTTATAGAATAGACAGTGGGAAGGAATCTAGTGTAGATATTCGTCTAGGGTAAATTAACGTCTCATTCATGTAAACGTAGAAAACTGAGGATTATAACATAAGTGAATAAATCATTGTTACAGTTAATCACTTAAACATGATTGAATATTCTACTTGAAAACAGAAATCGGTTAATAGTTTCAACGTAGTAAATGAGAAGTAATTACTAGGTAATTAGGAATCGACGATGAACTAACTAAATCCTAATTGTATATTAAAATCACTGATTTATTTAGATTGTTGTCAATATTGTTAGACATTTCTATATGTCATGTTCATAAGTACTGTACGATTTCTATGAAGATATCATAGCATGACATTAAAGAGGAAGAATGTATTTGTAGAATCTCAGCGAATGAATTCGAAGTAAATCCAACGTTTCCGCTTAGTAATCTAGTTCAAAATTATCGAATATAAATAGGTACATGGTTCTTCGATTCACTGTATACTGAATAAGTCATCCAATCAATGTTAACAATGTTTAAAGTAGGTATTTACATTAGTGTGTAAGAGATATGTGGTGTGAAACGATTTTGTGTATACGTCAATGAGAAGAACTGTAAACATTGTTAACATTGATTTGATGACTTATTAAGTATACAGTGAATCGGAGAACCATGTACCTATTTATATTCGATAATTTTGAACTAGATTACTAGGCGAAAACGTTGGATTTACTTCACATTCATTCGCTGAGATTCTACTAATACATTCTTCCTCTTTAATGTCTCACATTAGCTCGGTACCCAAATACTGTGAAATGATTCGGTCAAATTTAGACAAAAGTTCTTGTATATCATAGTATGTTTTATAGAAGAATATTGTAACTATGATGATTGAAGCAAAGTTATAAGAAAACATTCAATATCAGTGTTCTATATGACAATTTCATATGATATTTAGGTCATAACTTAAGTAGTACAGATTATCGAGAGACCCTCATGACTTACGTGATTGAATTCTAGCTAGAAGAAGTATTTTGAAGTATTAGGAAGATTAAACAATTTCAATCAAGTTACAATTCTAAACAATCATGTATTTTGAAATTATTTACGAATGATGTATGGGTTCAGGGTTTCCTGTTGACTATCTCCAACCACCATCTAAATGTATGTTCATTCTATGATTTTGATTCACATTGTGAAAAACAAGCTGTTAATGTCAATAATTACTTCATGGTAAAATTATTGACTGAATGATACCGGTTAATAGAAAGTGTAAGTCTATTTTGAAATATTAGATCTATTTCAAAGATTATTGAGCTCGATGCTATAAATCAGCTTTTGTGTTGAATTTCGGTTTACTCGTTCGATTAGGATGTACAATACATCATACACAATATTAGATATCTTCGTGATAAGATTCATAATAGATTATGTTGATTTATTTGATCTTAAATGGATGAAGTCTAATATCTCATTTAGTTATTGTTCCCTTTTAGAGTTGTGTATCTTTTACTATTTCTCTGAAATAATTATAATAAGTAGTTTTGTCTTGTATGTTTGGATTATCATTTGAAAGTGGTATTTAGTTAATGATTTGACTTAATGAATTGTTGTCATTGTTTTGAAATATACCAACTAATCGATTGAGATCTGGGAAAATTTACTTCTGTGGCATCCATTTGAACTATTCAACACATGGTATTGTCTAAGATATTGATATGTCATTACATAAATTGATTGTTTCCCTTTTGTCAGTATAATCTAGAAATTCATACAGTTTACAGAGTAAATCATTCGAACACTAAAAATATACAACAGTTATCAACTATTCAATCTATCTCAGTTGTCTGAAATTTGAGAGTTTTACTGTCAGATTTATGGTTAATATATTCCTAGGTAGAGTAGGTGTATCTTAAATGTGGTAAATGAACAGTTTTGCGGCTACTTTCAGATAAATTCTTGTAGGACAATGATGAATATAATGATACAAGTATTGTTACAAATATGAAATATGTAGAGAATATAATTTGATGACTTACGATAATCCTTAAGTTCTAAAAAGATGTATTTAGTGAACCATTATAATAGTTACATGAGTGTTGTTGAATATCTCATAACTGAAAGATAACAATGGATATCTAAATTCACTTAGTATTATCTGCTTGAATCTTCCCATTGATATTTAGGACTGCAATTGATCAGTCTCATGTTGGCATATGCGCATACTGTGCGTATTGCTTCGATATTGCCTTAAGTCACAAGCATTATAAGCAAAGATGAATGTTAGTTAGCAGTGGAATCCAGGACGCGCGTTTTATCTTATTTAGGACTCGGAGTGAACATCAACTCTGGGATGCAGGTACATCCAGTCGACGAATCCAAAATATGACGAAACACACATCTTGAATTCCACTTCTAGTCACCATCCATCAATGCTAGCAGTCTCCTGTTTCAAATAGTTAGGTAAATGTGGAAATAAATGCGGTTGAAATTTTCAAGATTATCTCAGATTTACATAATAGGGATATTAGTAGTAATGATAGCAGAATAATGGTTTAGTTACAGTCGGTATATATACACAAAATAAACACCGATTCAGGCAGTGTGAGTGAAGTTTAATTTATTTGTACGCTAACTTTGCTATGAAATCTTTGTGACTTAACGTTAGTAATGAGACTATCCGTTCTGGATTGACATATGACAAAAGAGACCGGTCACCTTTAGTACTAAGTAGTAAACTGGTACATCGGAAACACTCATAAAGGAATGGACAATATTATAAAGACGAAACTTTCAGAACCCGTGGATTTCGTTAATCATTAGTCAGGCAGTGAAAGTCTAATGAGGATTCTAATGTAAGATCGGAAACTGAAAAGTGATTTTGGTCCAATAGATTGCTTTCGCTAATGTAAAATGTGTGAACTAATTAACTGAGAACAGCTGATAATTATCGTCGGTTGGTTTTGTTTCTTGAGTATCCATTTGTATGAGTTAACGTGTTATACTAATTAATGTATTATCATTCTTAAACAGAAATTTACGACATGAAAACCGGAAGGAGCTTATCTTGGTGAGAATCAAATTCAAACGAACTTTGTAGTGTCGGTTATTGTGCCAAACCCATATACCTTATTCTAGATTTCGGTCATCCCATTTCATTCATTCTACTGGAGCCATACATTGACCTTGTTATTTATTCGCTTACCAGTCTTCACTGTTTTTATATGAGCGTATATGAGTGTGCACATCATATCCCATGACTCATTGCGTGTCTATAGCTTTTTTTTGTCTGACTATAAATATTGAGTAACGCTTGACTAAAATGGAGTTGGCTTCCCAGCCATCTCCACTGCGCGTCATTTTTACTTGTCTTCACCGTGTGCTTGGTTGCTGTACGCTTGCGGATTTTCGTTAATCATTAACAATAAATTATCTATACAACTGGTGTTCAGGCTTCTGAATAATCTCGAGTAAATCCATAATTCGACTAGGAGATTAAGTCTACCTTAAATACTCAGTTTAAGGGATATTATTTATTGGAGTCAGATATTGAGGACATTAGCCTCAACAACTTCATAGGATTCATGAAAGAAAATAAACATATGAATTACTTAATTGATGTGACTGTATAACTACATTCATAAATATTTGGTTTATCTTATCTTTTGCAGTTTTTGATCATAAATGTTCTTAAGTGATTATCTTAATGATTGATAAATGATTGTAAATATCATTAAATCATATTCCATTACTTACCATCTATGACTTTGTTTGTGAAAGCTATGGAACAAGATATTTACATAAGACAATAAATATACTTGATATTGACATTAATTAAAACTTTTTTCATCCCCCTCCCCTATTTATTACCAATTATTAATTGATGTTACTTCGTTAATTTCTAATATTTCAGCTGTTTAGATCATGAGTCAATTGAAGCTAGATCCCCATGGTAAACCTGGAAGCACAGTTGCGACCGTTTCGTCCTATTGTGGGACTCCTCAGCAGTGCGCATCTAAGACCTTGCCTCGTGAAATTCGAACCAAGAACCTATCAGTTACGCACACCAGCGCTTAACCACTAGACTGCACTACTGAGGAATCCTACAATAGAACGAATCAGCCGTCCAGTGCTCTCAGGTTTCCTTTAATGGTCTAGCTTCAATTAACTTATGATTTCAACTATTAAAATTACTATAATATCTACAAAATCCCTTTCTGATATCAATTTCTAACATCACTCTGTAGACTACAATCATTGTATAAATTTGATATATTGATTGTACAAATTGTACAAATTAATGAAATGTAACATCATAACATCAGACACTTATCTCATAACTAATTAGACTTAAATAGTTTATGTTTATTGAAAGTTTATACTACTTAATAATCAGAAAATTCACATTCTTATTGAGTTGATTAGATCAATTACAAGAAAAAAAAACAAACAAAGTACAACACATTCCAATGATAAATTTCTTTCTAAATTCCTTTATAAATTATAAATTCCTTTAAAGGTTGAATGATGAAATGTATTAATAAATAACTTACCTAATATAGCAGCTTTAATTAGAGAATTTCAGTGCAAAGTGTATATGAAATAAGAATGAAAACCAAATTCTTATTTAATGTTGAGTGATTTTCTGCTAGTACTACTTGTTATAATACATTTTGGTACTACGTTAGTGATTGATTCTATTATTGGCTCTGTAGTGTTGGTTATTATGTTAAGTCTATATACCTTATTCTAGGTAGGTTTCGGACAGCCCACTATATTCATTCTATTTGAGTCACATTTTGACCTTATTATTTATTCGCTTGGCTGTTTTTATATGAGCGCGTAGGTTTGTGTACATTTCTTATCCCATTACTCATCACATGTCTGTAACTTACTTTTGTGTAACTATAAGTTTGATTAACGCTTGGTTAAATAGGAGATAGCTTACCAGCCATCTTCACTCTGCGTCCTTTCTCTTCTCTCTATTCCATTCGCTTTATATACAAAATATATGTATTCAACATCCCATTCTCGTGGGGGGGGTAGGCAACCTCATCCAGTAGAACGCAATCTTGTCAGAAAATGTCAACCAGAATAAACAATCTAAACCATTTGTACTCTACCCCGAGAGTTGTAAGATTCTTCATTCAGAAGAATTATGATGCCTCATGATGAAAGCCGAAATCCTTCGGAAGTCACGAGGCCGATGCCCATTCTAACAACCAGAACAACAATTCTTATGGGTACATGGAACGTCCGGACAGTGTGATAGAATGCGAAGACCAGTCAAATAGCAACAGAAATGATGAGATACAACTTGGTAGTACTAGGAATCAGCGAAACCCATTTAACCCAAGCTGGACAACAAAGGCTAGATAAGGGAGAGATGCTGCTCTACTCCGATCACGAATAAGAAAATGCTCCACACACTCAGGGAGTTGCTCTAATGATGTCCAAAGAAGCACGAAATGCACTTATAGGATGGGAGTCTCATGGATCCAGGATTATCAAAGCATCATTCAAAATAAAAAAGGAGGAAATCAGAATGAATGTTATCCAATGTTATGCACACACCAATTATAGCACTAACGACTGCAAAGATCAGTTCTACGATAGGCTGCAACTGATCATAGCGAAGTACTCAGGACTTGACCATCCTGATAGCAGATCTAAACGCCAACGTCAGAATGGATAACATCAGACATGAATATATCATTGCACAACACAGATTGACTGAGAGAAAGCAACGAAAATGGTGAGAGATTCGCAAATTTAAGTCCATTCAACAAAATGGTTATATTTAGTACAATATCCCCATACAAGCACATACACAAAGCTACATGGATCTCACCGGACCACACTACAGCGAACCAGATGGATCATATTTGCATCAATGAAAAGTTCCAAAGGACAATGGAAGATGTGAGAACCAAGAGAGGAGCTGACATAGCTTCAGATCATCACCTAGTTGTGGCTAATTTAAAACTGAAGCTAAAGAAACAATGGACAACTGGGAAAACCGCAGTACAAATGTTTAATACAGCCTTCCTATGAGATACTAACAAACTCAACGAATTCAAGATAATTCTCAACAACTTGTTTCAATCCTTACAGGATCTACTGAATGAAGAAGAAACTAGTATGGAGGATAACTGGAAAGGGGTCAAAGAAGTAATACTTTCAACGTGTTAAGAGGTGCTGGGCCGCAATAAACATCATCATAACGAATGGATCTCTATGAAAATCCTGCACAAGATTCAAGAAAGGAAGAACAAGGAGACAGCACTTAACAACAGCCGAACAAGAGCAGATAAAGTCAACGAGCAAACTGAATACACAGAAGTAAACAAGCAATGACAGCGAAAAAAGTTTCAAGAGAAGGAAATATGAAAGAACTGTATGAAATGACGAAGAACCTATCACAGAAATATGGTAAACCAGAGAGACCGGTCAAAGACAAAGAAATTTCGCATATTCTGTCTATGTATTCATCTCTAAATCAAGATAAATTTAGTGAATGTACCTCCTTATTAGTACTATTACATAACTTTCATAAGAATACATGAAATACAATGACTGATTTGACGATTCACACATTATTTATAAAACAAACTAGGTAGAGAACATTGTCTAGTAACTTACGATCATTTCCAAATGCTATTAAAAATGCAAGATATAAGTATATACATATGCAACGGTGTATCTAGAAGCATGTATTACTTTGAAAGTAATTTAAACAGTTGTATTTGATTGCTATTGAGACATAAATTCTATTTCTTAGCATAAATATTAGTTAGCAATGGTAAGTCATTGATTCTTATAATTCTAATATCGTCTATCATCATTGATTCATTTTAGAAAATAATTTACGAAGTGACTCAATGATATCGCTACTGATAAGTAGTACTTATGACTAACGGAGATTTATTTCGATTAATTAGAGTAACGTTAAAATATATTCACCAGGTATTTGAAAGTTCCTTAATTTTCGTTGTGTTAGTTGTAGTAACATAGTAATTCATTGCTTTGGTAGTATCAGAATAATCATATAAATGTCGATAAAGTTAATAGATGTTCAGAAAATTTGACACTGATCATAAAGCACTGACAGTGTTGTTTTTACCTATTCTGTCTATTTATCAACTTGTAGCGGCTATCCATTCGACATTGTTCATTATGGAAATGTTGTGTCCTTTAGTGAAAAACATATGTTATTTGAAAATGGCATTGATGAGATGATTTGATTGAAATATGTCGACAGTTTAATGTAGGTTTATACCAGATTACTGTCTATATTTTGTAGTACATCTGATTAATGATTACTGAAGCATGGGATCATTTACCGATCGTTTCTCATTACCTAATGATACATGGTTTTGTCACGACTTCAAATTGTGTCAATATTTAAAGACAAGACACGGGTTTCATCCTGTTTAAGAGCTCTCATGTTCATTAGTTTGTATTAGCACTGTGAAGAAATCTAGTTTGTATGGATTTACACATCAGCACTTATCTATTAAAAACAAGCAATGTTTAGCTAGTTCACCAATTGGTAAGATATCCGTCACAAACTAGACATTCTACTACCAACGAGAATATGGAAATAAATCAGAAACACCATTTTCAAGTAGGATTGTTAGTGCCTTTTACTAAACAACAGGATGCTGTTTTTGTCTGATAAGGAGCTATGACATTACATACAGGTATCTACCTCAGAATAATGGGAGATGGTCGCGCGATTTCGTGGATCCGTTGGGGTCAGACATTAATACCATTGGATGCCGGATCAGTGGCCCAGTAGATTAAGCGTTCGCGCCTGAGAATGAAGGCCCTGAGTTCAGACCCCGCGAAGTGAGATAGTGGGTGCGCACTGCTGAGTCCCACAATGGAACGAAAGGGCCGTCCAGTGCTTCCAGGTTTTTGATGGTGGTCTAAAATCAATCGGTTTATGATCTCGATTAAAAACATTACAAATAGTTTAACTGAGTCTCAATATTGAACTGGACTGTTATAATATTATTTTAAACATGAATTATATTAAATCGTATTTCGATAATAATTTATTTTAACTTACAGTTTCCTACTTCAGCGTTTATAAGCGCAAAATTCACAGTTAAGAAAACGAATATTATGTTGTACATTTTTCTATTGAAAATACTCTTTCATTTTATTTATACTAATAATAGATGATGATGATTCGCTAACTATTATTCTACCTCCATAATCTGTATTCATTGGTCTCTTTGAAAGTTGACTCTTTCAATTTTATTACTACTGAGAAAATAACTACTATATATGTATATATGATAAACGCGTTTTTCTACTGATTGACACAATATCAAAATAGATAGTTGCAAAGTTCAAAACATATTTTGTTGTTATTATTTTTTCAATAGTTGAGATCATGAGTCAATTGAAGCTAGACCACCATGGAAAACCTGGAAACACTGAACGGCTGTTTCATCTTATTTTGGGACTCCTCAGCAGTGTGCATCTATGACTCCGCCCCGTGGGATTCGAATTCACTATTATTATTATAGAAATTGTGCATTTGAGAAGACTTTAAAGACTATTTGTATAGTAAGTAATAATGTTATGATTGATATCAACAGTTAATAGAAGATCAAATTAGTCTTATTATTTATATGGGAATATTCCAGCACAATATAAATACTGATTTTCATTTTTCATCAATTATGTTCGATGAAATCCCTGTTTATTGAAATGGAAGTTCAAGGGGCATAATGATGTATATAAGATGTATTTTTGTCTTGTGACACAGTTGGGTGCTTTCCTCAATGCGTGTCCTATCCACTTCCAGCACTTCTTCCTGATTTCTTCCTCCGCTGGGATCTGATTTGTTCTCTCCCACAGTTGATTGTTGCTAATAGTGTCCGGCTAACGGATCTGAAGTATTTTGCGTAGACAACTGTTAATAAACACCTGCATCTTCTGGATGAATGCTTTCGTAGTTCTCCAGGTTTCCGCCTGGAGTCCCTCCGGGGGCTACTGCCGGTCCCAAGCCCGGATAAAGGAGGAGGGTTGGGCTTGGGGTTAGCGTCTCCATCCCGTAGAAAACTAACTCGTTAAAAAAACTTACTTACTTACTTACTTACGCCTGTTACTCCTCGTGAAGGAGCATAGGCCGCTCACCAGCATTCTCCATCCAACCCTGTCCTGGGCAATCCTTTCCAGCTCATTCCAGTTTTTATTCATCCTTTTCATATCTGCTTCTATTATCCGACGTAAGGTGTTCATTGGCCTTCCACTTTTCCGCTTCCCTTCAGGATTCCAAGTTAGGGCTTGCCTCGTGATTCAGTTTGACGATTTGCGTAATATATGTCCTATCCATTTGCATCGTCTTTTCCTAATTTCTTCTTCAGCTGGAAGTTGGTTTGTTCTCTCCCACAGAAGGCTATTGCTGATGGTATCCGGCCAATGGATGTTGAGTATCTTGCGTAGACAACTATTTATAAATACTTGTACCTTCTTGATGGTGGTTGTTGTAGTTCTCCAAATTTCAGCTCCTTACGGTAGAACTGCCTTGACATTGGTATTGAAGATTCTCACTTTGATATTGGTTGACACGCAGTTGTTTTGAGTTCCATATATTCTTCAATTGTAGGAATGCTGTCCTTGCTTTGCCAATCCTTGCCTTTACGTCTGTATCTGATCCTCATTGTTCATCGATGATGCTTCCTAGGTATGTGAATGACTCTACATTTTCCAGAGTTTCGCCATCAAGAGTGATTGGATTGCTGTTCTTCGTTTTGAATTTGAGGACCTTGGTTTTCCCTTTGTGTATGCTGAGGCCTACTGATGCAGAGACTGCTACCATACTGGCTGTCTTTGTCTGCATCTGTTCGTGTGTATGCGACAGGAGGGCTAGTTCATCTGCGAAGTCCAAATCGTCTAATTGATTTCGAGATGTCCATTGTATTCCGTGTTTTCCTTCAGATGTCGAGGTCCTCCTAATCCAGTCGACCACCAGGAGGAAAAGGAAGGGAGAGAGTAAACAGCCTTGTCTGACTCCGGTCCTTACTTGGAATGCATCTGTCAGGTGTCCTCTATGCACGACTTTGCATTGTAGTCCGTCATATGAGTTCCGGATAATATTGACAATCTTCTCAGTAACTCCGTAGTGTCGTAGAAGTTTCCATAACGTCCTCCTATCCACACTGTCAAATGCCTTCTCATAATCAATGAAGTTGATGTATAGTGATGAGTTCCACTCAACTGATTGTTCGACGATGATCCGTAGTGTTGCAATTCGGTCTGTACACGATCTATCCTTACGGAATCCAGCTTGTTGATCTCGAAGTTGGGCGTCTACTGAATCCTTCAGATGGTTCAGCAAAACTCTGTTAAAGACTTTTATTGGTACTGACAGTAGTGTAATGCCTCTGTAGATTTCACATTTGCTCAGGTCTCCTTTCTTTGGAATCTTGATAAGGTGTCTTTCTTTTCAGTCCATCGGCACTTGTTCCTCCTCCCAAATCTTTTTGAATAGAAGGTAAAGCATGCTTGTAGTCAATTCGATGTCTGACTTCAGTGCTTCAGCTGGTAAGTTGTTCGGTCCCGTTGCTTTCCCGCTATTGATTTGTCTGGGGGCCATTCTGATTTCTTCCTTCGTTGGTGGGTTGACGTCTATGGGAAGATCTGTGTGCGCTGCTTCGATGTCCGGCGGATTCATTGGAGCCGGCCTATCCAGGAGTTCCTCGAAGTGTTGTACCCATCTGTTCCGCTGTTGTTGAATTTCAGTGATTGGCTTGCCTTCTTTGTCTTTGACGGGTCTCTCTGGTTTACTGTATTTCCCTGATAGTTTCCTCGTTGTATCGTAAAGCTGTTTCATATTTCCTTCCCTAGCAGCTTTTTCCGCCGTCGTTGATAGTTCTTCCATGTATTTCTTCTTGTCGGCTCTAATGCTCCTCTTCACTTGCTTGTTTGCTTTTGTGTATTCAGCTTGTGCTTGGACTTTCTCTGCTCGTGTTCGGCTGTTGTTTATTGCTGCCTTCTTGTTCTTCCTTTCTTTGATCTTGTCCAGTGTTTCTATAGAGATTCACTCCTTATGATGGTGTTCTTTAGGCCCAGAACCTCTTGACACGTTGAAGTTAATGCTTCCTTGATGCCTTTCCAGTTGTCCTCCATACTAGTTTCTTCTTTCAATAGATCTTGTAAGGCTTGGAACCTGTTGTTGAGAGCTACCTTGAATTCATCGAGTTTGTTAGTATCTAGAAGGAAGGCTGTATTGAACCTTTGTATTGCTGTTTGTCCAGTTGTCCAGTTCTTTTTTAACTTCAGTTTTAAATTGGCTACAACTAGGTGGTGATCTGAAGCTATGTCAGCTTCTCTCTTGGTTCTCAAATCTTCCATTGTCCTTCGGAACTTTTCATTGATGCAAATATGATCTATCTGGTTCTCTGTAGTGTGGTCCGGTGAGATCCATGTAGTCTTGTGTATACGCTTGTGTGGAAATATTGTGCCTCCTATGACCAATTTGTTGAATGCACATAGATTTGCAAATCTTTCTCCATTTTCGTTTCTCTCTGCCAGTCCATGTCGTCCCACGATATCTTCATATCCGGTGTTGTCTATTCCAACTTTGGCATTTAGATCTCCCATCAGAATGGTGAGGTCCTTTCTTGGGCACTTCTCCATGATTGACTGCAGCCGCCCGTCAAATTGATCTTTAATGTCGTCGTTGCTATCATTGGTGAGTGCATAGCATTGGATAATATTCATTGTGATCCCCTCCTTCTTTGTTTTGAATGGTGCTTTGATGATTCTGGATCCGTGAGATTCTCATCCTACAAGTGCATTTCGTGCTTCTTTGGACATCATTAGAGCAACTCCTTGAGTGTGTGGACATTTTCCTGTTCGTGACTGGAGTATAACAGCATCTTTCCCGTATCTAGCCTTTGTTGTCCAGCTTGGGTTAAATGGGTTTCGCTGATTCCTAGTACTACCAAGTTGTATCTCCTCATTTCCGTTGCTATTTGACTGGTCTTCCTGGTCTCCTACATTATTCGAACGTTCCATGTACCTATAAAAATTATCGCTCTGGTTATTAGATGTGGCATCGGCCCCGTGACTTCCGAAGGAACTCGGCTTTCATCATGAAGCGTCATAATTCTTCTAAATGAAGGTCTTCTAACTTTCAGAGCAGAGTTAAAATGGTTTGAATTATTTTTTCTGGTTAGCTTTTTTTTTAGCTAGTTAGTTTTCTACGGGATGGGGTCACTAACTCCATACCCAACCCTCCTCCTTTACCCGGGCTTGGGACCGGCAGTAACTCTAGAAGAGCTACAGGCGGAGTTATGGATGGTAAGAGCCTCGGCTGCTTTTGGGAGTTGGATACGATGAAATCTAGGTAGATTTGAATGAATGATATATATATAAATTATCAACTTTGTTTTATGTATTCGAACCTGTACACAAGCAGATTTCAATCAATATGATGAACGTTAACTTAACTACTATTTATATAACATGTAACATACTTTCATTTGTCTTTTAGTTATTGAATGAACATACCATACTATTCGAAAGTCTTTGCAGAATTCTACATCTCTCAAATGAATTTTCGTAACAAACTAAGGTATAATAATACGAATGAACTACTCATAATCTTAAAAGTAATCTGTCTTCATATGAGAACTCAAATTACTGTGGATGTTGCGTTGCGTCAAAACAATTTCAATGAAAATGTATATTCTGGAGTTCTAATGAAATGCAGTGACCAGTAGAGTCCAACAGGATCAGTTGTGAAATAGTAACTCACTGAAGGCAATGGTGGATGCGTCGCTCAATTTCGCGGATTAGTTTAAGTTAGACATTAACACCGTTGCATGTCAGCCGGCTCAGTGATCTGGTGGTTAAGTGCTCGCGCGCGAGACCAGCAGGTCCTGATTCGAATCCCGCGAGGCGGAATCGTGGATGAGTACCGCCGAAGAATCCCGTAATAGGACGAAACGGCCTTTCAGTGTTTTCAGGTTTTCCATGGTGGTCTAGCTTCAATTGACTCATGATCTCAACTATTGAAAACGTAGTACTTTACATACTGATTCATATTGACAGATAATTCCCATTTAAACATAAAAAATAAAAACACGAAGTTCAGTGAAGGGATCTCTTTTCAACG